GCACCTATTATACTCCTGACCCCAAGGGAGCCTTCTTTCATGGATATTTCATCTCCTAGCTGCTCCAGTCAAATTGAGTATTACAACTCTCAGCTGTTTCATTCAGGAATCGAACTCCCCACCCAAAGGTTGCAAGCCCAGCAATGCCCGTCATTTGCCAACTCGGATGTGCCTCGGGGGGCGGCTTTATGTTTTTGTTTCTTATGAGAGAGGTATAAACGAAAGTTGGAACCAACGGACGTAAACGGAAAATTACAATTGGGTCCCAAACCTTTGAAGTTGTGATTATAGAGTCTCGAACCCTTCATTTGTGACACTCTAAGTCCCTATTCGGCCCCAAATTTTAAAATTCATTTTCAACTATATATTTCATAGGATCCACAATTCTTATATATTTTTTAGTCACACATTTATCAAAATTTACTAAAAATCTATTTTTCTTCCAACCAAATAAAAGGTTAAATCTCTAAATTAGAAACGTGAATAAGACTAGGATGATAGGGTCATGAACCTTTTGTGCACTCTGAATCCCTTAACTAGGGATTTCAAAGGGACATTGACGCGTGGATTGTCATCCCATCTTCGATTTGTTGAGAATTTTTGAAAACGAAAATGAAAATATTCTCATTTATCGCATTTATTTAATTAATTTTTTAAATACATTTGAAATTGAAAAATGTAAATTAAAATAAAATAAAAAGATTTGAAGCGGTTCAAGAAATTCGGAATGAGTACCATGCTCCTCATTCCCGTCATGTTTACTAGTGGTAACTGGATAATATGAGCCAGGGTTGGCAATTGCATGCTCTTTGTAAGTTAAGGAATCGAAGTGAATGTTCGATACCCTAGCTGGAATTTTCCATAACCATAGAGGTCGTGACTAAAGTCAAATTAGTTCGGAGAATCCTGAAACATCAATTATTTTAAATTCCTTAAATTGATTGAAAAATTATTTAGTTCAACTCACTTAGTCTAGTGGGGATTATTGCATCCTTGTTGTAGGAGATATCCGAACTCTTCATCTGATAATAGATTTGGAAAAAAAAAATAGCCGAAATTGTTCCAATAAGATTGTTGTGGGACAAGTTCAGTGCACACATCCACTAAACTTTCTCAACTGATAGAAGTGAAATATAATCACAAATAAATAATATATAGTTGAAAATCAATTTTCCCTGGATCTATTCTAAAGTTTTGATTGGTATTCCTTACTTTTTTGAGTATTTGTGGATTTTTTGAGTTCCTTTTTTTTTTTTTAACGTCTTTCACTTTTTTGAATTTCATCATTTTTTTTTTTCACTTTTGAGTGTCTGTCACTTTTTTACTTTACACAATATTTTTCACTTTCAAAATGCTTTCCATATAAATTCTCAAAATGTCGTTGAGCTTAAGGATATTTCTGTAAGTTCAAAAAAAGAAAGATAAAGATAAAGAGAGTTGTCTTCCTCCAAGCCCACTAGTCATAGCCCCCCTTTTGGTCCAGCCCAAAAGTTTGACAAGTTGTCTAGGCTCAAGTTCACTCAGGACGCCTGTATGTGTGATCCCAAAAAATATATTTGATTAATCACTTTTTTATTCATATATTTCGTAAGATCAACAAGTACTACTCAATTCTTCACCACTCATTTACCCTTGTCTATAGACACACCCTAAGATTTAAATACAACTTTGTGATTTATAACCAACTATCGTCTAACACATTTGTGCACCAACGAAGACGTGGAAAGGTCCCATGATGATTTCAATAGGCCATTCTCGAGGATTCTTGTAACCGAAAAACAAATTTTATACTTTTCCTGAGAGTACGCGCCCTCATGACCCAACAGTGGCCTTTAAAGCTAAACGACAACAACGAATCAAACAACAAATAAACTATAAAGTAATAAATTTCGAATTTCCTAAGAATAAAAGGGACGATGTGCTATCACCACGTCGATTCGACACGTATGCATATAATAATTAATAGGTGATTGGACAATGATTGAAAGCAATATCTTTGTCCGATTTTTCGCTTATTTATATTGTCTAACCTCGATTAACAAATGTTCTTTTATACCACATTTATAACGTGTTCCCCTTTTTTGCCTATTTATATCGTCCAAACTCAAGTACAATAAATTTTTTACTTCACATTTGTACATATGCAGAACTCCCTAACATACTAAACATACCTTTTAACGTATATATCCACATTACGTGCAGTGTCACATATTAAACATAAACTACAATAGGAATTAATATTTTACTCTAAATTTGAAATTCATCCCTCAAATTAAATGTCAAAAAAGACTACGAAAAGTAAAACCTCAAATTCCTCAGAAAATCTTGGCATCTAGTGCACCTTAAGTCCTCGTTTGAGCCCCATTGTTTCCATCAAAATACATTCTTCTACAGTGATTTGATCCAATTTCAATCACACGTTCTTCATTAAAATAATATTACACTCAAATCTAAACTTTTCTTTATTTTTAACTACATATTCTCCCACATAACACTATTGCAAAATGCAATTTAGAAAAAATAAAATAAAAATGGGGCTCAAATAACCCCTAAATCACTTTATGTAAGTTGTAACCTCTTTGAGGGCCCACAAAAGTTGATCACATCCCTAGTCTTTTGTCCATCCTATATATGGAACCGCTTCAATTTGTTACACTTCAAGTTTTTCGATGTAAAACACCAAATGTTCAACAGAAAGTAGCCCTTTACACAGAATGGCATGCATGAAATTCATTCACTCCTAGAAATTTTGGCTGTTTTCTTGATAGTTTGTCCCCCCTGATTTTCCATGAGGGAGAGGGTTACTTGTAGAATAGCTTTCTTTTGCTATATGTCATCATCGACTATAAATACTATTCTTGCACTATATTCTTCTCACATCTCTTGATTTTATTTTATTCTTAAGTTCTTGTCGGAGTTGAGTTGGAGAAATTCGACAAAAATGGCCGGAGGAAAATTCTTGCCTTTCTTGGCTATGGTCATTGTGCAATTGGGTTATGCCGGGATGAACATCATATCAAAGCTCGCCATGGATTCCGGCATGAACCCTTATGTTCATGTTGCTTATCGACAAATATTTGCCTCTGTATGCCTCGTCCCTTTTGCTTATTTCTTGGAGAGGTAAGTATGTTCGAATATACGTAAACTATGTATTTGTTGGCTTCTTTATTTTAATCATGTGCTCTCACACATTAGACATGGAGGCTCGCCTTGCCGTGATCTACTGCTAGGTTGGTTGCTTATTTTACTTATAAGCAGGAGAGAGAAATGAAAAATTCTCACACTTTTTCTTTCTTCAGCTTATGACTCCTGCTTATAAGTATATTAAGCAAATGCCCAAACATCTACACTTCATTGTTTTTTTCTTTTTCATTTTCTATACTTGAATTTTACACCCAAAACTTCTTTGGTTCCAGAAGTTCTAGCTAGATAAAAAAAAACTTATTTATTTACATACACATATCTAGAAGAAATTTAACTTTTTTTTTTTTTTTTAAAATTCAAGTAGAAACATAATGAGAGTTCCAATCTAACACTCAATGTAACCGACAAAGAAAAATAAATTAAAATTTTATTATTGTTTAATACTGCATAACAAACATGCAATAGTGCCTTTTTACGTGTTGTTTCGTACAAGCCATAGCATGAAACATCAATGCCTTTTTTGTCACTTTGTATATGATCGTCATATTCTTCTTGTACACGAGACCTACATGCGTGCATACATACATACATACATACATACATACATACATTTCTATTACTCAAGTAACACATTTTAATATGGACAGGAAAACAAGACCTCAAATGACGTTATCAATCCTTTTCCAAATATTCCTATGTTCCATATTCGGGCAAGTCTCGTTTTATTTTTTATTACCTTAAGATATATGAATG